ACAGCCTGCAGTTCAGCGTCTTAACCACTTGAGCCACCGCAGCTCAAGAGACTTACAAGATTGTAATTCTTGTAAGTATTGGTAAACTGTGAGCTGCTTTCAAACTATGCTAGTTTCATTCTGTCATAACTGTATGAACCAATCTAGCCTATACCTGGTTGTGCTGGCTTGAACCAACTATCCATGTTGAACTGTCCATAACAAATTACTTTCCAACACAAACCAGTAGCAATGAATCATATGACAGCCAAAACTACATGGATAGTTTTGTGTTTTTCAGGACAGAAATTTTAAAAGAAAAGAAATGAGGCATATGAACTTAAGATGTTTCAAGAGAGGAAAATGTAGACACCCTTGAAGTGACTGGCTAATCACATACCACTGTCAGAGGGAGGGAAAGCTAGGGCCTGTGAGGGAAGATGAGAGGTAGAGGTTCAAACAGCTCCCCTTCTCGGACAACTCACTGGCTGCACCACTAGGCCACTTTCCCAACTTCAACAACTCTAAATGGAATGGAAGAAACCCACTGCGACTTGGGCAAGAACATGACTACTACTACAGAGGATAATCTGAACCGTTTTAAAAGCCATAATGTTAACTTAAGTACATTACAAGTGATCAAAAACCTAGATTGAAAAAGTTGAGGGAAGAGAGATGAGCAGACTTTATCAGTAAATGGTATCTCTTAAGGATTAGACAAGTTACCATTTCCATACTGCCATTGCTTTTACTGGCAGAAAATGTTTCCTTTAAAAAAAAACAAAACTTGCAATCTAATAACATGTTTATATCCTCTCAGTTTAATTGAGCTCTGGCTCCATTAGGCTCATAAGGTTTAGTGCCTAAAATAAAATGGGAGTAAATCAAAGAAGAAATAACAAAATGTTTATTGAACTATCTTATTTCTTGCTCTGCGTTGATTATTACTTTTTGCAAATGGACTGTGGCTGGATCAAAAGTCGTTTTTCAACATGGAGATATGTTCACTGCTTTACTGTTTTATCTACTTGTTTAATTTATACCCCAACTTTCTCCCCAGTGGGGAGCCAAAGTGGCTTATATTGTTCTCCTATACTCTATTTTCTCCTCACAACAACCCTGTGAGGTAGGTTAGGTTGAGTGTGTGTGACTGGCCTAAAGACAGAGTGGGGATTTTTACCTGGATCTCCCAGATGCTACTCCAGCACTGTAATCACTGCACCACACTGGCTCCCTCTCTGATTCCCTCCCCCACTGCAGTCACCCACTTCACTTCCCACATTGTTTACAAAGATCCTCCCCCCCCCAAACATTCTGAGAAGTTCAGTGGACAACAGCAGGAGTGGGTAAATTGGCAAAAATAAACCCATCACCTTTCAGTAGGCAAAAATTATCTATGCTATCTGAAAGCACCCTCTAGATTCAACTCTGTATGTTTTCAGACAATATGAAGGATTTCATCTTATTTCACAACTTCACTTTAAAATGCTTTTTAGTACATTGTGTCCAGAACATTTGCTTTCATTGTCTAGAATCACTGGGATTTTAGCTGGGACAGTAGGTTGTATGAAGACTTATGAGGCAGCTTAACTGTGCACTATGCAGCTCTGAGGAGCAGTTAATTGCTGGCAGAATTGCTGGCAGCATTGCACTGGGTATTTACCAGACAGCTACGCAAGTGGTGGATTTGACGTTGGCTGCGGGAGATGTTTGTATGCTGATATATAAATCCATAACTGATAGTATGATGTTTTAATATTTTAGAGTTGCTATTGTTTCCTCTATATTGTAACTCGCCCTGAGCCCACTTGCAGGGAGGGCAGGACAGAAATCAAATAAATCGAATCAAATCCTTTAGTCAACAAGCAATTAAAATTTGAAATTCACTGACAGAGGATGTAGTTATGGCCACAGGCATAGATGGCTTTAAAGGGAGATTAGGCAGATTCATAGATGACAGATCTAGCAGTGGTTAGTAGTGGTGACTAAAGAACCTCAGAGGCAGCAAATCTCTAAATACCACATGCCCACAAGCAACACAAGGGGCAGGCCTCAACCTCTGTGCCCAGTTGTTGGCCCGCAGACTTCAGAGAGGGGTTACTATAGTTTGATTGAGAGAGAGGTCAGAATACAAGGGATCCTCTCTCTTGTCACTCTGCTGCTATCCCTTTGATGTGTAGACTGATACTCTTAGGGATCTTCCTTCCGTCTGCCTTCTTTTACAGCCCTCTCTCACACCACACTGCCTCTTCCATCTTGGTGAACAAAAGAGCAGGACATGCCATCCTGTATCTCCATCCATCCAGTTAGTTAAGATTAGAGAATCTGTCTCTGCCCTTTCTATCTAGAAATGGAGTTCTACTAATAAACTCCTTTATTGGTTTGAAAAGTTAAAGAATGTTTAGTGTAACTTTTGTTTCTTGCACGCACGCACAATACAGCCTGAGCATGAGAGCTTTGCTGTGCTGTAAGCTCCTATGAACACTCTGCTACTGTATCATAGAATCCAACAGGCACTCCAGCGTAAACCATACTGTGACTACTGTGTGAGACAGGAAGATGGACTAGATAGACCACTGGTCTGATCCAGCAGAGCTCTTATGTTCTTATTAAAATTTTGCTATACAGTTTACAGGATTTTTCCTACACTACCTGCAATTTTCCAACAATTCAGATTTGTATTCTCTATGAAATCTCATTTTGCTTTTTTTAAATTTAAAATTACCACACTATGTCATTATTATGTGTCACATATTTCTTTTAGCATATAAATATTTTACCATCATCTCAAAATCTTAACAAGAAACTTGGGAGGGTACTAATGGTTTCATTAATATCCAAACTATAATCACTACACCCTTTACTGCAACCTAAATCAATATTACTGAAGACAAAGAAAGAAAATACATGTTAACTGAAAAGTGAACTGGTAAACTGCAAAAACTCATCGATTTATACTGTACTGAAACACGAAAACATTTAATGAAAAACAAATATCGACAAAACAGTAACATTTGCAGGCTACAAAACACTTGTAAACCATACTTTGCTACAAATAATTTCAAATGCTAAATAGAATGTACAAGAAAGGGGACCCGCGAAAGTTGCGGGGGCAGGAGCGGGGGAGCTCCACACAGAGCAAGCGGAGGTGGAAGAAGCAGGTAAGCTTCCCCCCCTCCCGTCGGTTCCCCCGTCTCCTGCACACACACCCTCAACTACCACCCCCGGCTTGCCAGCCCCCCTGTCTCTCTCTCTCTTCCCCCCCGTTCTCTCTCTTCCCCCCCTCCCCAGTCTCTCTCTCTCTCTCTCTCTTTTTTGCCCCCTCTCCGAAGTGAGGCCCGCGTGGCTTACAGCCGCCGGGCCTCGGCATTTCTCGCTGCCGCCATCGCCTCCTCCTCCTCAAAGCGAGGCCCGCGGCTTGCAGCCGCCGGGCCTCACCGGGGCTCGCCGGGCCTCCCCGCAGCCGCCGCCTCCTCCTCAAAGCGACCGGTTGCTCGCTCCCCTCCCCCCCTGAACCGAGGCAGTTCGCAGAGCGTTCCCTGCGCATGCGCAGGGGACGCTCTGTGACTTTTGGGGGGATTTAAATATCCCCCTGGTTTTTTTCAGGTTTTAAGATTTCTGTGCACACCTGGGGACCATCCCAAGTGTGAACAAAAATCCCCCTCCCCCCAGGTGCCCCCGATGTGCGGAAATAAGTATCCGCACACCAGGGGGCGACTTGGCTATTAGATATATAGATACTTCTGTGACATAGAAACTTGTGTGAAAATAAATCCATTTCATGTCAGCATCAGTATTTTACAAATGAAAACTAATATCTATTAAAGAATTCACAAGAAATTATTTACAAAAGCTACAGATAGATAGCCATTCAGTATTCCACAGGTGGGGCCATGTGGGTTGTATGTGTTGTTTAAATGTGGGAAAACTTTTTGAGGTCTATGTGTCAAACAAAAAACAGTGCTGAAAATATTTCACCAATCACACAGTTCCAAATATACCCAGTGTCTGCCTGGCCCATGCACACCAATATAAAGCTATAAACTAAGCATATTAATGGTCTATCAATACAAGATCACTGGAATAAATAAAAGGAATATGGGGCATGTGTTGCAACACTGCCTAGCAGATGCAAATGAGCACAAGAATAGTCAGATTCCATTTTAGAAACAGTTTTTCTCTTATTAAAAAACCTTCATAAATCACATATCTTCATTATATTTTGATTTCAAATTTCCGTTTAGACCAGATTGCTTATTCTCAAAATTACAAACCGATAATGAGCACATCTGTTCTACCTGCTGTTTTACATAGTTTATTTCTTCACTATCTACTCACATTTTGGCTTGGATCTGAATCCTTTCTTTTGTTTCCGCAGCACTATCCTTCACTGCAGAGGCAGTGCTCTACCACATGACATGCATCTTCAGTTCTAGATGTTTTCTGCTCATAAAAGATGCTTGTGTGTGTGTGTGTATGTGTGTGTAAACATTCCACACTACTTTTGGTAGAATGTTAGCGCTGCACAGTCATATTTATCAACATGGCTTCTTCCTGTATTTTCTAATAGTACAATAATTGCTAATAAATTCTATACCCAGAATTAAACTTCAATGGTCTTAAAGGTGCCACTGAACTCAAACTTATTTCTCACATATGTTTGATAATTTTTTAATTATCTGAATGCTAATTTGCTGCTATTCACAGGTCTTACCAACTGCTTTAATCAAACCTTAGCTATACTTATTGCTCAGTTACTTGTGCATCTTGACTTTAACTAGCCCTTCCTGGCAACTACCCTCTCCCACCCTCTACAGGTAGAGACCTATATATTAGGCTTGAGGAAATCTGTTTCAATGTACCTGAAGAAGTGTGCATAAACATGAAAGATTATACCCAAAATTAAACTTTGTTGGTCTTAAAGATGCCACTGGACTCAAACTTTGTTCTATGGCTACTCATGTAAATACCACCAAAGTGATGACTGGTGAAGGGATTATGGGGCAGAGAGAAAAACTTACTTGCTACTTCCAGGGATGCATTATGGCTCACAGCTTCACCAAGATAATTCCTTGCTACACAGACATAGACTCCTTCATCAGGCCTACTCTTGCGGCCATGAACTATGCGTAAGAAAAATAAAGATCCACTTGGCAGCAACATCCGATGAGAGCGAGGATCATCTTTGTCAGTTTCAACCCTTTCTCCTCCTTTATACCATTCAATAGTTGGTGTTGGCCTGCCCTCAGCCTTACAGTTCAAAGTTGCTGGTTCACCTTTAGATACAATTAGATCCGAAGGATGTTCAACAATTCGTGGTGGGAAATCCTCTTGGCGAAGACGCGAACCTAAAAAGAAATGATAATAATTTTAACATACATTTTCATTCTTTCTTTGATCTAACAGATACACTCAAGCTTTGAGTTATACAAGCCTAGGCCATTACAACTGTATTTTCAGACGATTCCATGAAGATACATGAAAATGGTAGAAAGGAAAAGACGAATGCATGTATTGTTCAACACAAACACGGCCTCCATCACTGCTGCAATTTCACCAGAACAGAAAGGTCACAGAATTTCATACGCTTCCTTCAAATGAATGCAATTATTTCTTGTTATTCAGAATGTAGCTGTTGAACATTATATTTTTAAAGGGTACAGTTGGCCACTAATATATTGGCTTCACTAAAAAAGATATAAAGATATAAATGTATCTTTATGTTTATTTTTTATTTCAATACAACAGTTTAGTTACTGTTTTGATTATTCTTCAACATGCATTTACCTTCCTAGCAGACTTCTCAAAGTCATTTCAACATAAAAAGAAACTTTTCAAAATCAAACAACAGCCTAGAAATAGCCCACAATCAACATATACCTGCAAATTTCAGCAGCCATTTCTAAACAGATGCTCTCTCAAAGATTCAGGTGGGGTAGCTGTGTTGGTCTGAAGCAGCAGAACAAAGTTTGAGTCCGGTGGCACCTTTAAGACCAACAAAGTTTTATTAAAAATATAAGCTTCTGTGTGCATGTGAAGAAGTGAGCATGCACATGAAAGCTTACACCTTAAATAAAACTTTGGTGGTCTAAAGGTGCCACCAAACTCAAATGTTATCATACATGAAGTTATCCAGCTGTAATGCCAAAGACCTCGTTATGCTTCATAACTGAATTCAGAGAACAGCACCAATCTTTTTTTTGGGGGGGGGGGTAGTTTTGCATTTGTGTGTATGTGCGTGCATGCATATATGTGCCCATGTCTGGAAGTCATGCTGACCTCTGGCATCTCCTACTGGGGCATATAGGATATTCAGAGAAGTGGCTTGATAGACTGCCTCTGGCATCCCAGCCCTGGTATTCTCTGGAGGTCTCCCATCCAAATACTTGCCAGGGCCAGCCCTGCTTAGCTTCCGAGATCTGATGAGATCAGGCTTGCCTGGGCTCTCCAGGTCAGGGCAAACATAGTCCCAATCCTGGTGAAAGTTTTACCAGGAAAGAAGAGTTTATGTTTAGCTGTCAAGCATTGGAATTATATGCTTTTGTGACCTAGTAATGACTCTTCATCTGTGTAGACTGAATGCTGACTCCAGAGTAAAGAGTTAACTCCTCACACAGTCCATTGACATGGAAGTTTCAGTTTAACCATACCAGGTGCACTGCTTTCAATGGCTCTTTAGACTGGAGGATGGTTGGATCCACCCCAATGTCAGGGCAGCCTTCCCAAACAGATTGTAGCAATAATCCAATATTCAGGCAATATTGCATTCCAATAAAACAAAAAAGCATCTAAAACTGATTTCTGGACACTGGGACCACTTTTTACATGATTTTAAAAGAAATCTTTGAGTAATGTTAATTTTACCTGCTACAGAGATGTCACATTTTTTCTGTTTATGCTGCTTGAGTAAAGAAAAAAAACAGTGCATTAACTGTACTGTCCCCAATTTGTTGAACTCCTTTACTAGGATTTCATCCAATGGTGTGTACATGCACACAGAAACATCTCACACTAAATCATATCTTCAGACACTGTATCCAGCCTATGGAAATACTTTAGCATTGATAGTATCGATGAATTCTAAAATTCATTTTTACAGGACGAAAGTCTGTATGTAGAGCTAAATGAGCATGCTAAACCCACACATGTTGTTGCAGAACCACAGTTGTCATAGTACCTAATAGCACTTCTTACACTATGAATCTTGTAGTCTGTTGTAATTGCTGAAATCAGGTTCCACTTACACAGCCGGCAAACTGAAGAACTTGAAGGAAACACATCTTCTAAGTATCTAGAACGGGCATCTTTGCAAAAGCTGTTTAGACAATATTATGACTATGTGGACTCCTCCTATCAAGTTACACTGATTACATGGACTTTATGTCCTATCTACAAAGGAGGAAATATTGTATCTTATGCCTTATTATAGTTACAGTATGCACTAATGTTGTTGTTGTGACACCAGCAACTTTATAATTGTTTAATGTATTGTTTGGCAATTTTTGATGGTGTTTTCTACAAGTGAATTTTGTATATTTGGGACTTCTGTGATGCTAGTCTTTTTCCCTGTGTTTTTTTTATAAAAAACTAGAGGTAGAGCAATACATTTTAAGGGGGCGCCCTGCCATAATGTCAAAAGTGTTTACTATTTTAATGATATCAGACACCCCACTTCTTGTCCAAAGATACCCATCATCAACAAAATGAGGCATTTCACATTACCCTTTTTTAACCCGTTTTGAAGCTGTTTTTGATCCGACATGGAGTAAACCGGTATAGGGCTGCCATTTCACACATGGCTTTCCCCTTCCGGTAAAGAGCTGGATCTGAAGCGGTTTGCCATTTCAGACTGCACCGCTTTTTCCTGCTTTTTCCCCACCATTTTTCGTCCATGCGGGCAATTTCTGGCTTTTTTTTAACGTTCACTTTAGAGTGCTATAGTGCTATAGTGCTATAACACAACACTCCAGGCATTCCAATGGGGTTGATATAATGCTGTTGCGTTATAGAGTTATACCAATAAAGCACTATATCGCTATAAAGCGAACATTAAAAAAAAAAAAGCCAGAGATTGCCCGCGCGGGCGAAACACAGCAGGAAAAAGCGCATTGGAACCGGGAGAGGAAACTGAAGACTCCTTGGAAGGGGTTGACAGGTAAAACACTTCCTAAACGGGACAGTAGTGTTTGTGTGTGAAATTACAAATATATTCCAGTAGGGAACCGGTTCTAAAACGGTTCTGTCTGAAACCGTTTGGGAACCGTTCCTCTTCCAGATCATATCGTCGGTCTGAAATTCCTCCATAATTCAGACCATAACACGTTCTCAAATGCTGCCATGGCAGTTCAGAGTGCTTTTTAAATAAGGTAAGAAGAGTCTTATCTTATCTAAGAAAAGAAGGAAGACCCACCATGAGGAACAAAAGAAGCCACTGCCCTCAGTTTGCAAGACCTGAGTAAGGCTGTTAATGACAGGGCATTTTGGAAGTCATAAGACCGCCATTAGTCAGAAACGACTTGACAGCACACAACACACATGCACAAAAACAAAGTTAGTACCCAGTGGCACCTTTAAGACCAAGAAAGTTTTATTCAAGGTATGAGCTCAAACCTTGAATAAAACTTACTTGGTCTTAAAGGTGCCACTGGACACAAACTTTGTTCTACTGCTTCAGACAAACACGGCTGCCCACTTCGACATATACACAAGATGAGTCTTTCTAAAACTGTATTCAGACAATCCTTCTAGACTTTTTCTCTCTTCACTTCCACATCAATCATCTGTTCTATGGCAGGATATATAGAGACCTCGTACACAGCCACATGTATACAACTTGCTAAGTACAAAGATTTGTGGAATGGGGCACAAATCACGTATTGCCATTATGGAAGAAACAGAGCAAGACATTTCAAAGCCCTCTATAAAACATACACAATGGGCATAATGTGAGCCTATCTAGACTTAGGTGGTGAGTAAAAAACAATCTTAGAATTAGCAATGGAGGTTAATTCATTCTTGTAGCTTATGGATTTCATAGTTCAAATATCCACTTTAGAAGCCAGCTCTAGATGCCCTGAATTTGTGATTGGCTCATAAAGCTCCCAGTGTCATAGAGACAGATCTTCCTGATAAGTTTCTCCTTCCCAAGCCTCCCCACTTACCCTTAAATGGAGGAAGTGAGAGTGGGAAAGGCTTGAAAGTCCTAATCTTTAACTGTAAATACGTACTCCTTGGAGTACTGCGTTTCAGATATGAAGAAAACTGCACTATGACAGACCCCTTCCACTTCCCTCCCTCAAAGACTAGATTTTCCGTCCATTCTTCTGTCCCCTCACTGACTAAGCAGCCCTGGTAACATGTTTTCTTCTCCCCTGAAGAAACTTTGGCTGTTCCACCCTTTGAGTAAGATATATTTTGACTATTTGGCTCAGCCCAGGAATCTGAGGAAAGGACAGGATGGCCCTTCAATTTAAGCCCTTGAAAATGGCACTAGAGACACTTTTACAAGTAAAAAAATAACAAAAAGATTTTATTTAACATCAAAGGGAAAGGTCCCATGAAATCAGGGGTTGAATTTACTGAGGTAAAACTAGTACAAGTCCATACTTTTGTTCTTATATATCCGGTTAACGAGAGGTTCTTAATTTATTCACAGTTACTTAGATCCCAAACACTCTAGTTCACTTTATTTGAGTAATCACTGACTGTTCTGGTGCACAGAAGGCTGGTACCATCTTTCTAGTACCCAAACCTCTTCCCTTGGAACACCAGTACACTTCTTGAGTGGTTCACTGACTTTTAAGGTCTCTACAGGCAGTTTCTAACCACACCAAACCGGATCAGGCCTTTGGAGGGCTCTTATCCAACCCACAAGGAATTGACTTTCTCCTGTTTCTTTCTCCAGTTCTGATGCTGGTGCTGCATTGCAGCTTGCTTTGCCAGACTCTTTCAGTCACACAGGAGAGATAGATAGGCAAGCTTCTGTTCCCTGTACTGGCTGAGGCTCCTTGTCCTCCTCCCAGGGGGAGGAAGGGAACAAGCCAGAACTTGCTTCCTGGTCAGGCTGCCTTAATCACATAGAAGACAAAAGAAAGCCTTTCTTCCCCACCATTGGCTGAGGCTCCTCCCCTTCCTACTGCCTTCCTTTGCTCAGATGCCTCAATCTCATGGGAGAAATACAAAGCAGCACATTTAAGACCAACAAAGTCTTTATTCAAGGTATGAGCTTTTGTAAGCCTTGCTACAGTGTGTGTTTTGTTGGGCTTGTTATGCTAGGGCTCTCCTGGGTGCAACTGGTTCCGCCCCCCCTTTATCACTGTTCAGTTCAGTTTATTCGGTATATCACCAG